GAATTAAAAAGAGGTACACTTAGCGTTTCCTTCGCCGCTGCAAAGCGCATTCGCCGCGCCACGCATCGGCAAATACATCGAGGCATACGCAGCTCTGGAAACGCGCGCGCGAGGCGACGCGAGGGGTAAGTATCAATAATTGAGCACCATGGGGCTGGCTTCGCTTGGCCATTTAGCGGTCGAACGAGGGGGATGGTCCGCGGGTATACCTATGGTACGGGGATATCGGTGGATGTATCGCACGGCGAGGCCTGCTATCGACATGTCGACGATGCCAGACCGGAGCTGTATATTCTACGATATAGGAAACTATCCTAGAGAGAGAGAGCCGCGATCATGATACGCGAAAATACCATCTGTCATTCGGGGGTGCGTGCCGGCCGGCCACCCCGTTCCCCCTGCCGCCGCCGCTAGGATTTTCGGCTGCCTCGTCACTCCCTTCTCCCATCGTGACCTTCGATTTTTTTTGGGTTCGTCCGAGAATAGGAAACTTGTCGTCGTCATCGTCATAGAAACGTGGACTTGCGTTTCGCGTTGCTTCCGAAGGAACGAGGAACGAAGGAATAGTATTAAGAGGGTGTGCCAAAGTGGATAACGAACTCCAAAACGTGGCGACAAAGTGGAAGCAATCGTCACGATTACATTATCCTCTTTTCGCAAGCTGTACAAAATTTTGTGCTAAATTTAACATATGTCCCAGTTTATCCACTCCAATTCTTGTATTAAATTAATACAAGATAAATATGTAAATGGCACAGATAATATGTCGGAAATTGACACAAAAGTGTAACACTTGTGTTATACTTCATTGTGTTATTTTAACGCTTAGAAATTGCGAAAAGAAAAAAAATTGTAAAAAAGTTTAACACAAAAATTTCTGCACTGATTGACTTTAACACAAACACAAAATATTTTTTGCCATTTATTTCCTGTATAGAAACAGTTTCTTCATATAAATGTATGTTGCTTTTTTGCGATAGTGGCAAACATAATCATATTTACTAAGAAATTTTTATGCAAATTTTTCATATATCTTTACGCTACCAAATTCAACAGTAAATGCACAGCAATGCTCTTTCAGATCTTCCTAAATAGAGCAAACACATGTTTCGTATGTATAAACTGGAAAACTTTTATATCAGGCAAATATTTACGCTAATAGCTTAAGAGGTTAATTTTGAAATGTTTCATCGTTTTCGTCACATATTGAGCAATACTCCAATTTATCTTATAAAAGATATATATTTTGATTTGTTTTAACATATTCAACCGCAAATATGCACATGTAAAAATCCTTCTACAAACTTCTCGCGTATTTTTCAGCTTCCAAATTTATGCGTAAGAAGCTACAATGTTCTTTGAGGCTTTTCTGAAAGCGGAAACAAACACACATTTTATGTATACGACTAGAACATTACGCTACGCGCATGCTATTTAGCATCTTTATTATTACAATGACCTTTTAAATTACCTTATAAAATTACTTTACTCTTACCCTTATTTTTGCCTAAATAATATGCTTCTCTCTTTGTCTATCCTTTCGTTTTCTCCTCTATCCTTCTATTCTCTATTCTTCTGTTCTTATAACTTATATCTCTTCTAATATTCTTTTCTTCATGAGCTAACCAATGAATGATAGTTATTTGCCTGATAATTTGACAGGCGCAGACGACACGAAGCAAGCTGCAACCCACATGAAGTGAACTAAAGAACCAAATAGCATCGCAGAAAAGCAACAATTAAATCTCTTACATGTCTTTTTTTAGAGTGGAGTGGAACCGTGCAAACCTTATGTATCAGACAAATATTTACTCTGACAGCTTGAGATGTGAATTTTGAAATTTTCTATCGTTTCTTCATGTATTGAGCAATACTCCAATTTACTTTTGTAATTACTTACATTGTATAAAACCACTCGCAATTATGTGTAATCAATATAACGTAAATTTTTCCAGGGAAAATCTAATATCTCGTCAATTTCCGAATATGATAATCCCTTAAAGAGGTAGAATATGCATTTATTGTTGCAGTTGTTATTGTCGATCTGATTAATTCCATGTTTGAATGAGCAAGTATAACCTTCTAATGCCAGAGGCGATTACGTAACAGCTCGTACGTTCCACTTGCAGCCGCCCGTTCAATCTCCCGGCGACCTTATTTTATTAATCGGCGCGTGTACACGTGTATTGGAAATTAGCGCGATCCACTTAGTCGGCGACACATAATGGTTAATTGAGTTTGAAATATGCATCGGCACTCGTACACACCCTCCGGACGCGCTGAATTGCGCCGACGCCATTAAACTCCGAAAATGTTTTCTTAAATAGCGTGACCGTAAGACCCGATTAATCCGGATTCCGGGACAATGCGGGATTTGAAACAATTGGCTGCGAACGAACGAACGAATGAACGAACGAACGAACGAACGAGTATCGGGAGCGGTCGCTGCCCAGCAGCCGTGAATAATCGTGACCCATAGTCGGATTCACTTTCCAATTAAAGGTCCCGATTTGCATTCGACTCCAACGCTGTTGATCGGAACGCGACCAAACGGAGGTCGTCGACCGGCCGCGCCATCGAAAGTAGCGAACAACGAGAACGGCGATAAATCGATCGAACGTGTCAAACAATATGTCCTTATCGGAGCCGGAATATTGCGCGAAATTGCGCGCGAGCGCGAATTGTATTTACATCTCCGTTTGGCGAGCGGAAGTTTCGCCCACATTTCGTCCACACTTCTTGTACATATGGGGAGAATATTATAGTTTTCTTCTTCATATAAATCTTCCCAGTTTTATCCTACACACGGAGAGAAAAAAGCTATGTTTCTCTACATAAAGAGAGAAAAATGAGAGATAAAAGATATTTATATGCTCGCCGTTGAAGTACTAATAACATATTTACTTACACTAACACAAAATATTTTTTAAATAAAAGAATAAGCATTTTCTCAAAACTTCATAGATTTTCGTGGAAACAATTGTTTATTCTAATTAAATAGAAAAATTCAAATTTAAATCAATATGTTATTAGTGACTACCGAATAAATATTTCTCTTATTTTTCAGACATTTTCCTCTCAATGTAGTAGTGTAGGAATAAACTATCAGTGAAGTTTATCTTGCTAAAGAACATAATTAAATTTGCTAAGAACATAGCAAATATTTTAATAGCATATGTCAGTTTCTAAAATATAAATGTAGCACATATAAAATGAAGGGACAATAAATTACTGCAGAATGTGTCGATCCATCTCCTCAGTTAAAAAATTCTCTCCATGTAAAAATGACAGAAATTACTTTCATCAAGCTCTGAAAGACCGCACATTTTCATAGAAACTATATTTTTATACAACATGTAAAAATAAGCGCGAGGTATTTCACGCGCTTTCCAAAATGTGGAAATAATCGATACTCATCCTCGAAATTTTATCCAATATGCTTCTCCCGCAGATTGTCCCCATAATGTCGCGAGGAGGAAACGAACGATAGTAATCTCTAACGTCTAAGGATTCGCAAGAGCTACGCGAAGACGAACTACACGCGCGTTCGTGATTCGACTTCGTCGCGGCGTCTCGCCTTCGCGTTTTAACCCCCATTAGTGACCCAGACCGCGGCACGAAGGTCTCGGGCGCACGAACAACCTAATGTTATGTAAAAATACCGCCATCCACGGGTCCCGGTGTATATTAATGCCGAAGAAGAGCGAAACGAGCGGACGAGCGCGCGCAGAGGAGACATCGAACCACGAGCAGATGCTCCTGCCGGAATATCTAAATAAATCCAGCCAGCCCTTAAAATCCCAGAGTCGAATAAGTAATAACATCCACCGACCACGGCTGTGTCCTATCCTTTCTCTCTCTCTTTCTTTGTCTTCTCCTCTCCCTGCCTCCATGTTCTCTCTTTCTCCTTCTCGCTCTTATTCCCTTGCCTGTTTTGCCTGTATAAGCGAGCACGTCCGATTTCGAGACTTTAATTGGCCGGAGGGAATTTCGCCGCGTGGCCTTACTTTACGAGGAAACTTTCAAGATATTTTGAGCCACAAGAGAGAGAGAGAAAAAAAAAGAGAGAGAAAGAGAGAAAGAGGGAGGGAGGGACAGAGGAGCAGGTTGAAGGTGACGAGGGGAAAAGGAAGGTAAAAGCAAGGAAAACACGCTGCACACTTTTTCCAGTTACGTGGGAGAACGAGTGAGATTGAATCGATGTAGCGACTGTGCGTTTGAAAGATTTGACTTTTATCGCGCGAGTAACTGTGGGAGAGATGATGCGTTCCATAAAAGCTCTCCCGCGCGATAACGATGCACGTCTCGCTCATTGTATACTTTTTAACTTCTCGAGAGACAGAGGCAGAGAGAGAGAGAGAGAAGAGAGAGATAGAGAGAAAGAGAGAAGAGAGAAAGAGAGAGGACTGGAATTGATTAATTGATATATCCAATTCAGAATTATGATTACTCACGCGCCTAGAAAATAGTTTGGCTGAATGAACATAACAGTGAACGAGCCAAATGCGTTTCGGCTGAGAGTGAATTCCGTTGCCTTCCGGCTCGCTCATTGTCAACACGTTAATCCGACGAATCTTCTTCTCCCCCGTCTGGTTTTAATTCCGGGGGTAATATAACGCAGCATATCAAGAAGCAACGTCCGCGCGTCCCTTAACCTCCGACGCGATCTGTTAATCTAATTATCGGAAGGCAATGCCATTAACTGCAGGCGCAGAGCGGTGGTCTTCGCGCGGATGGATTAGCGCGCGGACGTGTGCGCAAACACACGCGACGACACAGAGTTCATCCCGACGAGCTAGGACGATTTACGAGGCTTCACAGGCTTGTCTGGCGCGCAGATAGCGGCGAATGTGTCAATTACGATAACGCGCATCGACGAGCGATTTATCTGATGAAATTATTTAGACGCTCGTCGACAATTATCGCGCGACGATTCGAAACGCGCCGTAACGCACTCTCTCCTCCGCGCGCGCACGAATTTCCCGAGGTAATTACAATTCGTTGACATTACGCCGTGTATACTTCACGCCGTATATTTTTCCTCTCTTGTATCCTGCTGCGTCGCATTGCGTCGGTTAACCACGGCTAGAAACTTGTGCCCATTATCTTCCTCAAGTTGATTCCAATCAGATATCTGGCTTGTATACGGTGATGTTATCAAGTCTTGATTAGTCATATAACATACAACAATTAAGACAATTAAGTCTTATTAATAATAATGAGAATTAGAAGAAAATGTTCAATAGGTAGCAACCTGCCCATTTTTAGCGTTCTTTTGTATAGATAAACAAATAAATAAATAATGAAAATGAGATTTTTTTGATACACAATTAATACATCCTCATACTCCTTAATATCTGATAAAATCCGAGCAAGAGAAAATTGACGAGCACAGTAAAGAGCCTATTAGATATTAATAAGACCTTATTAATAATTAGGATCCGATAACATCACTTTCTATAAGTCAGAAATCACTGCATAAAGAGAACAATTTGTTGAATCAAATAAACGCTTCTTTGAAATGGTCCAAACAAATTTTTTGGTTGACGTAATAAAGATATTTCGTTGGAATTAAGCCGTAACTAAATATTTTTGTTGCGTCGAACAAAACTTTGTTTGATCAATCAAAAAATTTGCTTGGCCCATTCCAAAGAAGTGTTTGTTTGATTCAACTAAATCATTCTCTCTGTATGGGATAAACCTGATAGAAGCTATGAGGTAAATTTCTAATTGTGACTACTCGAAAATAGTGTTATTGATCGATTAAGACTTTCTTTCACTAGAATATAACCGACAAATCAACAATAAAAATCATATAATCAACTATCATCATTACATACGTAATCATGTATAATTTAGTCAGTTGATGAGATTAATTCCCGAGCAGCATAAGTATCTATAAAAGAAGTTCTAAAGATGTTTAAAAGACATCTTACTAGTTTTAGACGTCTCTGAGATATATTTGCTATCTAGATTAGATCAATGATAATCAATCGAATCAAAGTGTGATGAATAATTAATTTTATCAATCCATAAAGTTATTTGCCATTTTATTATCTGACGATTGATTGATTTTAATAGTTGATTTGCCGATTATTTTAAAAAACAATATTTCAATCGATTAAGGCTGCTGCCTTTTCATAATTGATGACGTCAGAAATAAGAAAATACATAATAAAAATTCCTGTAAGATACGTTAAACTAAAGAGACATCCATAAAATAATACTTGCAATCTATCGACACATAGTGTAGGCAAAACGCTTTCCTTTCGTTACCTCTTCAACTTACCTTTCCTCATAATTTTGTCACGTTACTAATTTTACAGTTACTTATTGATTGTTAGAAAACGTTCGCCCTATTTTCGGTCTGTTCGATCAATCGTAGATGTTACTTTATATATCTTTCCATTTTTACGTATTTTGCAGGAATTTTTAGCATGTATTTTCTCGCTGTTTTGACGTCATAAATCAAGATGGCGTGGTGCCAAGAGCCTTAATACCTTTTATTGTTCAAAACCGATAATTAGCGCGAGAAAATTAAATATTTCCTCATCACCTGGATTTCGTCCTATTTTACAGTCGTCCTCTTTTCCAATTTCGCTTTCACCCCGTCACTTTTACTTGCCTTTCGCGTGTATCCCATCAACGTGATCCTCGCGATTCGCTGCCAGGCGAAAATCATGCGCGTTTTCCGACTCGAGGCTCGCGCTCGCTAAATAATCCCGCGGAAAATCGACGGCCCGTTTGGAGGCTCTCGAGCGGAATCCAGTTCGCTTCGCGACTCGCCGCGTCGAGCCGCGAGGTCGCTCTTTAAAGGGGCCGTGCCCGATGCTCCCGGGATATCGATATGCGTAGCTGTCTCTCCCGGGAGTATCCGGGACGAAGCGGAAACCCGCGCGGCCGCCGTAATAACGATATGGGAAGAGCGACGGCAAGCGGAGTCCGTCGCGGATCGTTGGATCGTAACGAGATCGAAGTAAATCGCGATTAGATTCCCTCAGTGCTGGATACGTCGCGAATTCCGCCGTGTCACCCCTCCGTCGTGATAGCCGTGGAGCTTCGAGAGAAACCTCATGTTCTATCCACGGATCTCGGAAACCGGTCGCCTTGGACATCCGCCTCGCTCCTGAACGGAAACTGCGCGGAAAACGAGCCCCTTCGCCGTCGGTCACCCACGACACGGGCACGACGCCTTCGAAGACGCCAGCGTGACCTCTTCTCTGGCGACTTCTCAGTCTCTGGAGCGTCGCAGTGTCGAAATAAACGTCGGCATCCAACTCTAAGGCCCGTATTAATAGTTGTTACTTGAAACTTATTTCAAGCACGAGATAACTAGATTTGAATTGAGAGTTAGATGTGAGCTCTTCAGTTAATTTACAAAGTCAGTTTAAAAGCTCAAAAAACATTCAGTTGATTATAAAGCGTGCGATTATTCAGTTGACTACGTTTTCAGTTGACTTATAAAGTCAACTGAAAAGTTCAAATCAAAAACTTTCAGTTGATTATAAAGTGTGTGATAATTCAGTTGACTACGATAATGTAACGTCGCACTTATCGCATGATTTAACATGCAGAACAATGGCATTCTATTGAAAAGAAAAGCGATTATTCAATGAAATTTTTCCTTCTTTTAAATAATCATCACTTTCAATAAAGAATATTTTTTGCTTGATAATATACTTAAAATATACACGTCAGAAATTTTAGAAAAACTCACTATTATCAAAATACTCAAAAGAAGAATCTATTCTGTTTACAATTATCAATATTTCAATAAGCTATTGTATGTAAGTTATTTCAATAAGTATGTGTATGGGATAAAAATAGTTTCACTTACAGAAAATTTTGAAAAAATATGTGAAATACTATAAGTTGTTCTGAATAAACTAATGTTAATGTTTCGATGTACCGATTCTTAATAATCAACCTTAAATGACTTGAGAAAAATGCCTTATTTTTACTTTCATTTGCTTACATATCAAAATTTTCTGTAAGCCCTATTTTTTATATATATTATATATTTTATATATATTAAACTATTGAAATGTTGATAATATATCTACTTAATAAGTTCCTGGTCAAAAACGCAAATATCTCTTTTTCATATCGAGAATATAAATATCATTGCTTTCGTATAATGCTAAAAGTGAAATTGCTAATTTTGAAAACTTATGATCGCTATATTGGAGCCACCATTTCGAATTTTAATTTTCTGACCTCAAATTCATAATCAACGACCCCAAAATCTCCCATGTGTCAAACTTGGAGAAACTTCACCGAGAAATAAAATATATGGCTTAAAGGGTTAATTTAATATTCTCGATTGAAACTCGAGCAAAACTAAGAGAATATTTTGGGGAAATTTGATGCTTATTATAAACTTATGATATACATTTTCGGATAAATTGATAAAAAACATTTAAAACACAAGTAACACTTACTTAAATGCAGTACGCATTCTTCTGTGTGCGCAAACTTCAGGTTTAACTCTGAATTCTGAATTCAAATCTGAATTCTCTAAATCCAACTCTGAATCTAACTCTGAATCTCTCTAACTCTGAATTCAAATCTGAGTATCTCAGGTGAGACAAGTTTCAAGTAGCGACTATTGATACGAGCCTAAGTCCCTCGCGTCGATTAATCCCTCTCCCGCCGAAGCGAGACTCGATAGAGCGCGATCGTTGTAGCCCACTGGCCCTCTTATTATCGGCGTGATCCTCCATCCGACGACATCATCCTCCAGCCGCTCGTCACTCCCTGATCTTAGAAGCTGCAAATTATTCCCGGGATCCGGGTCAGCCGGTTTGTCCAAACGCGCCACGTATCTGTCTCTTAATTTATTTCCACCGGGATCGTCGTCGTCACGAGTCGAGTTCCCGTGGTCCACGACGCCACGGATTCTCTTGCCATCCTCTGGCCGTCTGAGATTTTTCAGCTTGACCTCGGCCTGCTCAGCTCGACGGTTGGTCGGCCGGTTTAATTTTGTAGCGTTATCATCCATCTCTCGTCGCGTTTCCGGAACTTCCCGTCGTTCCGCTGTCGAGTTCGCCGGCCGCGCTGCGGCACCTCCGCCGTCGCTTGCGTTGTCAATTTTTGTCTCGCAATTTATCGCGCCGAGCCTCCCCCTAACACGGTTATCGGATCGCGCGTTTATCGCGGTTAACTTTCCACCTGCTTGCTCGCCCGCGGTCTCGCTTTCGTTATCCGCGAAAACATTGATTCCGCGCTCCAGCGATCTCAGGTCGTTCTGCTTCGTTACGAAGTTGTTATCGCCCTTCAAGCTCTTTCCCTTGGAATTCTCCCCCGATTCTGCCGTACCGATTGCGCGCGAGGTTGGCGCGCGAGAATCGTCCGAGCGATTCGCGCCCGCAATGATACCGGATGCTGCGCGGCCAAGTTCCTCTCGCTTAGTCCTGGACTTCCGTTTGTCCTCCTCTGTCAGTTTCTCGAACCGCTCGCGCTCCCTGCTCGCGTCGCTCCTCATATCCTTGCCAAAGGCGACCTCCTCCAGCTGCTCCTCGTTCTCCCGCCGCCAAGCTTCTCGCTTATTAAGCAGTATTACTTCGTCCTCCAAGCGATTCTTTCCCTTGATCGGTAACAGATCGGCCATCCCCTCGCTCTCGGACTCCCGCTCCCTCTTTCTTCTCTCGCCCTGCGGACCTGTGTCGATGACATCGAGCGAGTCGTAGATCGTCGGCGCCTCGTAGCCCGAATCAAGCGAGGCCCGACGATTTCCCTCCGGATTCGCGCGTTTCCGTCGCGACGATCTCGCGCGATCTCGATGCTTGCGACGCGGCTTCCGCTTCGGCTTGCCGCGATTCTCGTTCCTCTGGCGCTTTCTCGTGCCTCGACGCCGCTTTGACCGAGCCGTTTCGTCGAGACTGCGTGTTTCTCTGCGACGAACCGCGACGCGATCTGCAAATTTCCAGACGTGACACGGTAATAGTCGACGACGGGTAGTTAGCGAGGTATGATTCTTCGGAAATGTTAAGCGAGAGTATAAGGTTAAAATGCCAATGCCTGGGCATATTTTTAACTTTGGACATTTTTACTTTTTTGGTCTTTAAATACAAATTTTTTTTAATTGTATTATATTGTCTTATATTATATTCGCACATTTAAACTTATAAAGTATATGTGTGCAAGATAGAAGTTCCCCAAAGTCCCCCATCTATTTAAACACTAAAATATCTCTGTTGTTTCTTATGTTAGAGAAAAATGTGTGAGGGATAAATTTTGTGGTTGAAAGAGATAAATATTGTGGTCAGCCGAGCCTTTTACACGCAATTTATTCTTTACACATTTCCCTTTAATATAAAAAAAACAACAGAGACAATTTAAATATATATTCACTGTATGTATACATATTTTAAATTGCAAGTTTCAATTTATATTTAAAGACCAAAGCAATAAAACTATCCAGAATTAGATACGTGTCCAGGCATTGACAAAGTAAAAATATCAATATTTGAACACGTGCCTGACAGTAGACATCCTCTCTTTTGGTTTTTAAATATAAATATTTTCAAATATTCAATATAGAATATATATATACAAGGTGAGTTACCATTTAAATTCTGAAATATCTGTTGTTTCTTACATTAGAGAAAAATGTGTAAGGGATAAATTTTGTGATTGAAAGGGGTAAATACTGTGGTCAAGCCTTCCAAACATTCAATTTATTTCTCTCTCTAACACATTTTCTTTTAATATAAAAAAACAACAGAGACAATTTAGATATATATTCAACATATATATACGTATTCTAATTGCAAGTTTCAATATAATTCATATTTAAAGACCAAAGCGATAAAACTGTCCAGAATTAGATACGTGTCCAGGCATTGACAAAATAAAAGTATCAATGTTTGAACACGTGTTACCATTTAAATTCTAAAATATCTCTGTTACTTCTTATATCAGGGAAAAATGTGTAAGGGATCAATTTTGCGATTGAAAGGAATAAATACTCTGTGGTCAAACCTTCGAACTACTCAATTTATTCCCTATACATTTCCTTTTAATATAAAAAAACAACAAAGATAATTTAGATATATATTCAACGTATGTATACGTATTCTATGTTGCAAGATTCAATATTTGTATTGAAAAACCCAAACAACAAGAATGTGCAGAGTCAGGTACGTGTCCAGGCATCGCCGACATACTTTGCCGTAATACGATAAGCTCGGTGCACAGCGTGAGAAAAATATGCGTAGCACATCGACCGCGCGCCTCGGTATCGCGGGTGACGCACGAGTGTCTGGACGCACGAAATATTCCGCGGATGTGTAATTACTCGCAGTTTAAAAGTTCGTCCGAAGCCGCCATGGTTTTTTATCGAGTACGCAGGGATAGTTTACGGTGGCGCGGTATTTAGAGTGAAAACACATTTCCGATAACCAATTTCCCGTTACCGATAGTTGAAGAAACATCGCCCGCGGCGCGTGTGCACGCTCGCGTTCTCTGCCGAAATTTTAATATTTATCCTGCAAGTGTGCATCGGGATGACGCGAAGCCACACCGCCGTTCGCGTCGTCGTCGTTGTTTCAAGCGGACGTTGCGAATGACATCGCAAATGACGAACGCGCTCGACGAGAAGCGAAATTACGTACTCCACCGTGAAGCTAACTGTTTACCCGCCATTCCGGACGTGGCGTTGTCGAGCCGGCGAAAATTACGCGTGTCGATCGGCGAGGAGAATGTGTTTCTTGTCGTCATCGGGTAGCTCGTATTAGTGGTGTTAGGCATCGCGTTTTGATATTGCAAGATACTGCCAGTTCGAGCTTTAGCCGCTCCAATACGCGCCTCTGTTCTCGTTTCCTCCAGCGCTTCGATTTGTTGCAGAAGCGAATTTAATTGGCGAGTCTGAAAACGATGATCGCGAAATTATTTCTCGACGGAAGAAAATCGTACTTTTTGTTTGTTCGTCTCGCAAATTATTCTTTTAACTCTACACTGAAATAAATTCTACACTGAGAGAAAAATATCTAAAAAATAAAAGATATTTATTTAATGAGTATAAGAACATGTTTATATAATAACACATGCTTTTACTCATACTAACTTAAAATATATTTTCTAAATAAGAAAATATATAATATATAATATAAAGCTTTTTTTTAATCTTAGTTTTTTATGAAAGCAATTATTAATAATATTATAATAATATGTTTATTTATACCACAATACATAAAAAATATTTCACATAAGAAAATATGTAAGGTTTTTTTTTAAATCTTACCTTTTCATGAAAGCAACAATTTATTCTATTTAAATAAAAGAATTTGGATAAGCAAATATATTATTAGTATCGAATAAATACCGAATAAATATTTTTTATTTTTTAGATATCTTTTCTCCTGCTGTGTAAATTAATAGAATCTTTTGACAAGCTTAACCATTAAAAAATTGGTAAAAAAAGACGCAACTAGTAGAAAAGAAAAACTGTTTCTTAATTAATGTTACTAACTTAACCTAGGCTTGAATCTTTTTTGTTTTATATAAAAATTATGTAATAATAGAAAAAGATATATAGATTGCTAACAAAAAATAAAAAATCATAACTTTGCAGGCTGAATCATTTTTGCACAATCATGACTAAATGACGATATTGTAATGAATAAAGCGCGGGCTCGTACCAAGTAATCGTGAACCGTGTGAACCCTCGTTTTCTCTTGTGCTGTCAAAGCGTTGTATTCTTTTACGAGGGACTCCAACACTCGCACTTTTTTCTGCAAATCACTAACATCTCGTCCTCGGTCGGAAGTGTTATCGAACAAGAATTTGGGTCCCGAATCTTCTTCCGGAACGATTTCCTCGCGGACCAACGGCAACGGCGGTGCCTACACATTACGAATGAATAGCTGTCGAGCGACGGAAGAATATGTTACAACGCGCATCACGACAAAACGTACATTGTCCAGCGACTCCTCCTCTCGATCTACTTCCAAAATCCATCCTAAAAATTCTCGCATGTCCGCAGATAAGGAGACACAAGTCTTCCTCTGAACTTCGTTCAGGATCAACCTGCCGAGGAGCTCCATGACTCTTTTCATCATTGTCTCCGTGTGATTCGTCTGGATCGCGTTGATGTTCAGAATTAGTTCGGAATTGTAAAATCCAATTGTCACGCGACGATTCAAATAATACGGATTATTAAGCTGAACGTAATTACTCCGTCCTCGCCGAGTCCTCGCGGATAAGCCGCTGTCACGTCCTCCGTTTTGAAATTACCATCAAGTCCGGGTCCGAAAACGCTCTTTAGTTGGTTATTCTGTTTAACCTACGCATCCGCAACGATCGTTATTTTCGCAGCGAGGCTAACGTGTACTTCACATAACGACTTTTTGTTCTTACTAAAAATTCTGAGAGATTCAATTGTGCTTGTCTAAAAATTTTTCTGTTAATCAAATCTGATATACTTATAAGGTCTTTCAAATATTTTCCTACTCTCCGTGTTAGTTTATATCGCACATTATTTAAACTACTAATAAATCACACTAAAGAAAAAGATAAAAAATATTTATTCAGTAATAGTTTACAGTAGTAAAAAAATAACATATTTACTATTTTTAATAAATATTTAGTAATTATTATATTTAACTAATAAATATTTTTACAAAATATTTTTTAAATGAGAAAATAAAGAAATATTTTCCAAAGAAAAAAATATTTTTCAAGTAAGAAAATATAATTATGTGCATTTTCTTAAAACTCCTTAGTTTTTTATAAAAGCAATATTTAAATAAAATCTATTTAAATAAAAAAAGAATCTATTTAAATAAAATCTATTTAAATAAAAATCTATTTAATCTATTTAAATAAAAATCTATTTAATCTATTTAAATAAAAAAATATAAGTTTAAGTAAACATGTTATCAGTATCCATCGAATAAATATTTTGTATTATTTAAATGTTTTTCCTCTTAGTGTATCTTTTCTCGCGAATTACTTTAATAACATTGCTAATTTTTATTATATATCTTTGCACTTTTTCAAAATTGTTAGTATTAATTATTTGAATTTGAGTTCCCCAATTTTTAATTTGAACATTTTATTTTTGCTTTCTTTTCTTTTATTTACATATATGGTTTTGATCTGTTCTTTCATCTAAAGCGATAACTGATATTGATTACTGAGTACTGACTAAAAAAAGGCAGCATTTTATCGGTAAAGATTTCGATGCAGAAAGCATCCCTTTAATAAATAAATCAATCATATCTAAAAATAAATCAGAAATATTTTCTTAAATAAATAAATAAAAAATACCAAATGATTTTTAGTTAAAGTGATAACCTGTCAGCGACCAGTTTGAAACGCGAATAATCAGCTGCGAATTACTTCCGCGATTTTATTGTTTCTCGATGGTTGTGTGCGCGTAAGTTCACGACATCGATATCGCGCCCTTTAAAGCCCTAGCCTTTACTCGCCTGCGCGAATGTCTGCTGGACGATTTTTCCAGCCAGCTCGCCGCGAAGCGCCACGTCCATCTGCGACTCGTCGTCGACGTTGTCGGCTGCGAGGAGCAGCGTAATTTCCTTTCGCCGTGCGTCGTACTCCGCCGGCTTCACTGTCTGAAAAATCATCCTTAATTCTTTTCTCCTTTTATAATCCGGAGCCGCATCGATCGACGACTCGCGCTGAGACGCGATCGTCGATCGTGTGTCCCTGCCTCCATCATCTCCGACCCTCTTCACACTCACACTCTGATCCTCTGCGTTCTCGTAAAGCACTTTTTCACTCGGCACCTCGTTCAACCCCGCGCGAAGCGACTCCTGATCGGCCATTCTGCTCTTCTGGCTACTGCCTCGTCCACTCGAGCGAGACACTCCGGCTCTGCTCTCCTTCGGCTTCCTCCCCTTATTTTTCTTCAGCCTCCAATCGCCTCGATTGGCGTTCTTCGACATGTCGGATCGATGTCGTGCCCTGTTGCGTCGATTATTCCAAGAAGAATGCGAGCTGCCTTTCTTCGCGTGTCTCCCCGAGGTGTTCGCGGAGAGCTCACTCTTCTTCTTATTATCATTAGCTTTTCCACTGTTCTCTCGTTTCCTCTTCAAGTATCGATCGAGCAGGTCGTTCTGCCTGTTCGAAGACGCGTATCCGCGATACATGCCGTCCGATCGATCCTCGAGGACGTCTGAGGGACGCAGGCGATCAGCCGGACTTTCGTCCAGGTCGTCGTAAAACGCGCGATGCGCAGCGCGCGCTCGTCTGATCCGTGGTGTTCGGTGATTCGCGTATTTTTGCTCGGCAGTCTCAAGATCCCCATCGTCCCCCGCGCCAATCGTACGTGTCGGAATCGATTCTCCCGTTTTCTCAATATTCCGCCGATCGGCGACGTCACGATGAGCGTCAAGGACGTTGGTTAACTTCGTGATTGCGCTGCAGTGCCGGTTCTGCAAGATGAGTGAGTTAACCTCGCGAGGCTCTGAACTCGCAGTTGCATTCGCCACGTGCGATTTATCGGCTCGCTCGCGAGTCTCGTTCGTTCGAGAAACCGGCACTTCCTCCACGGCCTTAAGTCCTCGGCCAAATCTGGCCTTCGTGTCGTCGTCGAAGTCGCCACGCCAATCCAGCGATTCCACGAAGGACTCGTGCAAATCCTGCGGGCTAATAGCCGCCGTTTGCCTCTTGACATTTCGCTGAAGCGCGTCGCGTATCCCGCTTTGGACGTATTTGCGATTTGCATACGGGCAGCTGGAATCTGGGTTGATCGTAGATAGTTGTACCGCGTTTTTCTCATCCTCCGTAATCTAAACGGATATGTTATTTCAAATGTAGTAACCTTCCTTTTGCATAAGCAAGAAAATAAAAAAAATAATGGTGAAAGAAAAATTAGTTTGCAAATAAACGAAATATTTTACTGAAATTTTTACTTGAATCTGTAATCATTTCACGGGAACATGATAACTATCAATAAAATTTACTTTGGAGAAAGTTACTTTAGAGAAACATTTAACTTTCATTTTACTAACAAACTTTCGATTGTTACGCTAAGAGAAAAATGTCTAAGAAATAAAAGAAGTAAATATTTATTCAGTGGAATAACTGATATTGATAACGTATTCATTTAAATCTAAATAGAATAAGCAATTGCTTTGGTGAGCAATTAAGAAGTCTTAAGAAATTATATATTCTTTCATTTGAAAAATATTTTATGTTGATACTAGCTTAAACTACACGGCGTTGCCCGGCTTCATCTCGAATATTTAAACATAAATCATAAAGTGTCAAGGGGATGGAATCAGGGAAAAGTAAGATGTCAAGGTTTTATAGTAGTCCCTATTTTCTGCAAGATCCTACACAGTAATTATACAAAAGTTGGTCTAAAGCAGTCAAAGAGTTAAGAGAGAACACGCAAACAGACACATTCTATTTTATATATATAGAAATGAATAATGTTATATATAACACGAAAAAAATAGTTGGCCCACACATATAAATCTAGTTGCCAGACATTCATAATAGTAATATACAGAAAAACTAATTGTGCGGTGGCTGCAACCATAAAGCAATCGCCGAATTACTGACTTTGCAGCACTGACATCTGATTGCTCCACAATATATTCATAGTAAATGATTTCCTCAACCAATTTCTGGTTGCTACAACCGAATCATGCGCAACTACATTGATGCAGTTGATGTAGCGAAGTAACTGAGTCACATCAGCCATACAGATTACCAATGCGCTAGGACGATGCAACTATACTGCTCACAAGTAAATATTTCTGGTTATGTGCATTATATCTCGTTTTCCGCGAACTGAATAAATAGTTTTCATCTCTTAGATATTTTTCTCTCTCAGAATCACACGTACGTTACTTTTCAAGACTTTCGACCCGGTGGTCGCGACAACGGAGGATACACTCGGTGAATCTTTTTGCGCGTCGCTGCTTTGCTCGAGGCCGCCTTTAAACATATCATCCGTGACTTTGAGCTCGAGATAATCGCTCGCCGGCGCGCTGTGCGAATCTGCGACTGTCGTTCGGACAATTTGCGAAGTCAATGTTATTGATTGCAGTCAGGTGTAATAAACGATCATATAAATCACGAGACGACAGCTACAGTAAAGTAACGGCGAGAACTCAAGAGAGACACCAAAGAGGGGAGAGGTCTATTTAAAACTGAGGGGACGCGAGTCCGCGATTAAAATAATGATTAACGCAAAATATTCCAAGATCACACGGATGGGTTCGATTAAAACAGAGACGGACACAAGTGGCATTGCGCGGATGATTGTGCATTCAGCATTTACTCGTCCGAGATGCATCGGCCGAATGGAGTCTCCTCTGTGCATCGTCGTTTTGATTCGAGCTGAATAATCTATCATCCAATGGCCGTAATTGAGAAAGCTTCATATCAAGCTTATCATCCGATTCATAGCTTAGTCTTTGATCGCCTCTGAGCCGGGGCCCGCTCTTTAATTCACCCTCCGGCCAATCGTACACTTTCTTTAATTCTTCGTACAGAGGCTTGGCGTCGTTCGACAACCTCCGATCGTTCTCTTGATAGTCATAACGATCCTCTGGTCTGCGAAGAAAACTCTTAAACACGGACAACTCTAAGATTCGCGAGCGGAATGAATGGTTTATTCTCACGGAATCTATTTCCCTTTTCTTATATTAATTTTTGCGTAATCTTTTACAAAACTTCCGTTTCATCTCAATTTTTAATTCATCTCAGTTTATCTCAAAATTTAATTATTTTTTCAATTCCCAGTCTTTTACTGAATAAAGTAGAAGATATCGAATATGAATTTTTTAAATAGATACATATAAAATATAAAATATGAGTAATTCTCTTGAATCGCGCGTGAACAGTCTGGGGGAAAAATTATTTCCGCGAACTAATCTTCGATTTTGCAAATAAATACTTGCTCTTTAACTTTGAATATATATACATATATCCAATGATACGCGTTATACGGGATGTCCGAACTCAATTTCACAATCTCTCGTGAGAGTATAAATTGAGTTGAACACAAAAGTCCTATATAGCTTTGCGATATTCGAGATATAACTATCGAGAATAACTATCGAAATATTGCGAGAGATTAAAGAAGATTTGTAAATGATAACGCTGGATATAATAGATGATCTATAGTGACGACATCTGTTGTCGTGTGTTTTAGGTAGGTCAAACTGAATAAAAAATCCTATTTTGCCTAATTTACATATTTACATAGTTTAACCACGTAAATTTTTAGTTAAAAAAAGTTGGTGCATTAACGTGTAAAATCATGTTGCAACAATTTTATTTAATTATTAATTAAAAATCTACGTGGTTATTTAGAAAAAGGACTTTTTTACTTAGTTTGACGCAATGTGCAAGCACACGACGACAGACGCATTATCACTACATTTCATTTATCATATCACGCGTGATCACATAAATTTTCTACAATTAATATTAATCATTATTGCAATTTTCGCAAAATCAATATTGGACTTTCCTGTTCATCTCAATGCACTCTACATCCTCAAGGGAGATTGTGAAATCAAGCTGGGGCACCTTATATACGACACGTTTAAAAATATCGCAAAGTTTAATATTTAAAAGATAAGTAAGCAATCTCGTACCGATCGTCTTCAAAGTCTTCAGAAGTTTTCGACAGTCCGTCCTGCTCAAAAATTCTGATGGGCTGTATGCCCAATAAAATATTCTCAATAATATCGGGATTTACATCTACGCGCGCGTTGGACGAATGTTGCGATGGGACATCATTCCAAGTGATCTTCTCTCTATAGCCATCTCTTGACGACGCTTCTGAATCTTTCCACGGCGTCATCCTTTCCTCAAACGGTTCGTCTGACCTACCGCGGATGTCTATTTTTCGGTCATTTGCATCAACAACGTTGCGTTACGCACGTTCGTGTACATTCGAGCTTGCAATTAACATGTTCGTTACCACAATTCATTTGAGAAATTGTCTCCACAAATCACTCTGTATTCTTTTCTTTGTGTAATATTGTAAAACACTTAGCTTTATATAATCGTAAAAAATTATTACTCTTTCACATATGTGACGCTAATTTCTCGTGAGAGATAGGTGCATCATGCATGCGTGAAGCTGGTAGCATGTTACGATATTGCAAGCCGCCCATATAGTAATAATATTTAATTCAGAATTAAAAGATACAATTAATGAGTACACCAATAACGTTTTTATTACACACGCAGAAGCAAGGTTAGTTGAATTAATCTGACAATGAATGAACTACACTGAGAAACAAATACTAGAGAATTTATTTGTGGGATACAAAGTTTATATTCCGTTTTCTTCAACCAAAATCCCTTTGTACTAAGAAAAAATACTTGAAAACTTATTTATGGGATATAAAGTTTATTCATATAAATAAACTTTATATCCCATAAATAAATTTTCAAGTATTTTTTCTTAGTACAAAGGGATTTTGGTTGAAGAAAACGGAATTTTTGGTTCTTAGAACTATTTGGTTCATAAGAAAGCCAAATGTTGTATATCTGTAAATTCTTCAGGGACCAGAGATATGAATCACGATTCATATCTCTGGCCTCTGCAACGTGTCGCCCCTACCGACCTACCAAACGATTTGATTTACCATTTCGATTTCGCACTCGCCGCTTCCTCGCTGCGAATCTCATTCGCGACACCTTCGCTTTCACGGGTTTTCTCCGCGTTTTCCTCATCCGACCGTTCTCGCCCGTTGAACGCGTCCTCGAGGCTTGATTCTGACGAACCTGCGGACGACTTGCCGTCGTCCCGACGAGTTGCTGCGGTCTTATTCTTAGGCTCACCGAGGCCGACGACGAACTCCTCCTTTGGCTCTTTGTTCTTCAATCGCGACTTCTCGCGCTCCTCCTTCATCACTGCCTCCTCGTTCTCGTTCTTCTTCTTCCCTAATTCGCCCGGTCGACAAATCTGCGCTTTGCCGTCTGTCGTCACGTTCATAGACGCGCCGAACATTTTCACAAAACTTTAATGCACTTTCTCCTTTACCGTATCATTGCTCACTATTACCGTAATTATTGCTTATTATTACCGCACGGAGAGAATTTTGCATAAAAAATTAGAAATTCATAACAAGGTACAGATCGATATTCTGCAATAATTTAGTATCTCTCCATTTTTCATACATGCTATTATATTTTAGGAATTGAAAAGTACAAAAAATATCATTTTGCTGCTCAGAAAGACGCGATAGCTCGGTTTACTCTCTTTCTTTTAAATAATATCTACAGCGGAGAATATTTTCTTCATAATAATTTTAAAATCACAAATTTCTATGAAATATAAATTTTATACTTCTTACAAATAAATCTTCAAATATTTTTTCCCCAGTATATAGGATAATAAACTCTTTTCGAAAATTTGGGATATAAAATTTATTTCATAAAAATATATTTTATATCCCATAAATTTTCAAGAATTTTTTCTCAGTGTATTTAAAAAAAGAATTTATTTTCTTTGCAAGAATATAATGAAACTTTATCGAAGAAAAGTTGGTTCGACTCTATGCAATCAGCAAACTGAATTTCTATCTTCATTCTTGATTGAAATGCTAAACTTGCTAGGATTCAGAATGTATTTTGAATAAATTTGACGTTAATGATAAATTTATGCTAAATTTACGGATATAACAATGAACAAGTAACATTTACTTGAATACAATATTTTCCTCAATATGCTATTAAATTGAATAAATTGAATAAATTGAATAAATTGTCGCTTATAATAAACTTGTGATAGCTTTATGGACGTATAAATTTGTAAAATGCTTAAAATAAGTAACATTTATTCAAATGCAGTATTTTCCCGTGTATGCTATCAAAAAATTTGCTATGTTTCTAGCAAAATTTACTATATTCCTTAGCAAGATAAACCACACTGCCAGTGTATTACTTGCATTACTACTAGAAACCTTCCCCTACTAACAAAATAAAAAAAAAGTATATAAAAATAAAATTCTAACGTTTTCCCTCCGCGCACATTATTAATACCACCGTCTTATTACCGCTTCATTCTGATCGTTAAGCGTCGCGACCTTACCGCGCTTTATCGTCGCCTTATCGTCCACCAAAAGTTCCGCGTCCCTGTTCTTAACCCCTCGCTCGTTCACCAAAGTGTCGTGCGCCTCTCGCTCTTCATCGCCGTCGTAATCGTAATATTCGATCGTGTCCAAAGTGTCGCGCTTCTCCCGCCTATCGTATTTGCTCTTCTTGCCGAGCTTCTGCTTGATCAACAAGTCGACTTTGGCCTTCACAGGATTGATCCTCCGCCGGTCTGTCGACGCTCGCGCCTCTCTTTCGTTCTCTGCACAAAGCACATCGCCTTTACTTTCGCGCGCGCGTCGTTGACGTCGCTATCAATTTCAAGAACATTTAATTGTACCCTCGATTACACCCTCTTCCCTGTCATTATAGTCGGCCGCGGATTCTTCCGCGTTCTGATTCGAATATTCTTCGTTATCCCCTTGCTTGTCATCGGAACTCATCGCTGCCTTCTCGGCCACCACGCTTTCGGCGTCCACCTCGTTGTCGGGCTCGAGGATGCCAAGGGAATACGTCGATCGTTTACGACGAGCATAGCCGTCGGAGACGCGGGGCTTCAAATCTTCGCGCTCGATTCTAGCACGCGGAGAAACGGAGAAGAACGCTCCGACGACAGCCGAGGAATCGTCCGATTTACCTCGCTCCTGATCGCCGTCCGCGGAGGAGGTCGCGGAAATCCATAATAATCTCCGCCGTAAATTACCGCCGAGCTCCGCGCTAGTTCCAAGCCCTGCCTCTGCATTCATAGTCTCATTTCCGCTTGACCCAGCGGGAATATCGGCTTCGCCGATAGCCGAATTTCCATTCGATTCATTCCCCCGGCCGTTTCGCGCGCCTGAGGACGGAACCATCTGTTGCTGGCGCGGATCGTCGCCCGGCTCGCCGAGTGTGCTCGCGACTTCCGGTCTCGCCGTTGCGACGCCAACGAGATCAATCGCCGACGGATCACCCCGAGAGCCCGCCATCTCCGCAACCCTCGGTTCGTCGACATCGCTCATCCTCGTCTTCCCCGCGGAGAACAGAGAAGACACGCGCCCCGCGCCCTCCCCCGCTCGTCGGGACAATCTTACCGCCGCGCCTGCCTCCCGCCTTTGATACGGACGCCCTTGAGGCTCCGAACCGTCAACGAAGACCTTGATCACGCTGGGTATCGGCTCACGCTTCCCTCTTCGAATCCCTCCGTCCGTCTCCAGCCTACCCGCGGCGGCGGTTGTTTCGACGACGGGACCGGCGCGCGACTCATTTGTTGTCGTCGAGCCCAAGCATCGCGACATATTTCCCTGGGGAAGTTAGAGACCCTTGAATCAGAGACTGGCCGTAAGAGTGGTTTTGTCAAAATCGAGCGAGAGATAGAGAAGGTAAAAATATGTCCACTATCTCATTCTTCAATCCACCTTACTTTCACGCGCTTACGCATAACGTTACCGTGCTGTGAAACTTGTGACCACAATTGTCCCAGTAAACAATCTGTCAGCGCAGTCTGACGACAGATTGGCGACAAATCGAGCAGGATCTGTCGACAGGTCCATAATCCTGTATCTGTAATTTGCTATTATTCTGTAGACAGAGCCTGCCGACAGAATCTGACAGCAGATTGGCGACAGAAAGCGCGCAGATCCTGTTAACAAACTCTATTTATGATTACAAATATGATTACAAATATCATAAATACAAGGTGATTATCCTTGTATTTTGGACAAAATTTAAGTTTAGTCAAAGTAAATATTAATCGAACGCATTTGCCTATTTCGCGGCTTTCCACGAGAACCTGCTACTATCCTCCTGCGGACCCTTAAGGGCCGGCAGGAAGGCTATGGAAACCTCTCGCAAGGAGACCCTAGACCTACTAACCAGGACACATATGTGGCCTTCTTATCCTGTGCTACACTGAGAGAAAAGACTGGTAACTTTAACAAACTGCATTTAGTTACAGAAATTCATTGAATCCTTAGTAACTAATACTAAATATGATAATAATTACCAAATATTTAATAGATCGGGAGTATGACGTAATTGCATTCACAGTAACATCAATTAAATAATTTAGTAATAGTTACTTAATGTTAAATATTTAATATAAAATATATTACAGTTATGAACAGATATTTGATAATTGTTATGAAATCGTTATATCCCATATAATAAAAAATTCAGTAGGTACGAGCTCTATTTTGTTACCAGTATAAGTATGTTTTGTTGCAGCACAACGAAAAATTCATTCATTTGCAGCTGTTATATCGTTTCAATATCTATTATTACAGATAGTTAGTTGAACCTATCAAAAATTTTATAACTATTACAAAATCGCTTATTTTGCTCAACTATTCAATAAGTTTTATTTACCAAATATATTCTGGAAGCAAATAAATTTTACTTCTGTCAAATAAATAATTTATTTTACAGAACTAAATTAATTAATAAGTATTGCTATAGCTTTGACCCGCTATATTTACGTCTATCATTTAGTAATAGTAACCAAATTTTGATAATATTTACTAAATTCTTCTCTCAGTGTACTAAGCAACTGAACTCGGTACCAGAGCAAGATGGCTACAACGTTGCATGTTTATGTCATGATTATTACAAAATAAAATATACAGTTAACAAAATTGTAGAAGGTATTAACACATAGAAAAAGGCTGCCTCTATCACAACAATTAGTCTGAGAAGTTATAACTTCGAAATTTCCTAAAATATAGTATACATATAACCCAGGTCTCCCTTATTATCCTCCTGTTCAAACTTATTTACTTATAATATATTACTTATAACATCTAGCGCACGATTCTCATAGGCCCTATCTTTCTCTTAATTTGTGAGATTATTATAATTTAGATATAAGCGGGAGTTTTGATAAAACATAGCAGACCAATGAAAACCATTACCTTATGGCCGATTTCTGATTCAAGAGTCTCTAGGGAAAATCGCTCTCCCGCGCCCTTCGGTGTTTCCTCACCCGCGGCGAGCCGCGATACTTGCCGCGTCGCGACTTCGTGGATTTCCCTCCCGGCGACTCTCCGAGAGTCGTGGGTGCTGTCGCTCGTTGAGAAGAGTGTGAAATTTGTATCGGAATTCACGGACGCGTTCAACGAGGCTAAGTTCTTCGCGAGATCGAACGACTCTGCGTGATCCATCGACACGAGCTTGATGTTTCCGGGAGCCACTTGGAGCTCGAATCGTTGGTCGATCTTCCGCGAGCTCGCACTCGGAATTTCGATCATCACGGCAGTATATTCTGATGAAGGAGTTTTTTGAGTTCCAACCGTGTTTTCTGGAACGTTCCCGGTCAGCTGAGATCTTCGAGGGGTCTCATTCGCGGAAACGTTCGTCTGGTTATTCGAATAACCACTGAAGCTTCTGCTGCTGCGTTTGCTACGATCGCGCGATTTGTCTGCGAGATGCGACTCCGCAAGATCTATTCCCGGAAAATCCTTCAAGTCACTTTCGTTTTCATCGTCCGCGTTTTCAGCTCTTTTTATTCGCCACATCGTTTCCGGATGATCGTCAAGATCGCGTGATCGTTCAAAATCGAATATTTCGACCGCTGATTTCGAATCGTCCCACCAATTAGACTTCCCTAAAAAATCAGGTTGTAGCAATTACAGCAATATTGATGCATTGCGGATTGGAGACGTGAATTGACGTTTTTAATTGTTGAGACTCTTAGAAAAGGGAAACATCAATTCGTATCTTTTAAAGGGATTTACAATGTCACATATAAAAATTAGACATCTTCCTACAAATCTTTGGGAAGTTTGATACTTTCCCCCCAAAATCTTTAGAGGAATAAAATCTACACATCTAAAAATCATGCTTGGTATCTTTCACTTCACGAGAGATAATATTTTAATGATTATCACACTAAGAAGATTATTGATATATTCATTAATTATATGTTTCAATTGTGAATCAAATATTATATATATATATATATATATATATATATATATATATATATATATATATATAATATATAATATAATATAAATATTATAACTATATATGTGGTTCTCAATATATTAATATAAAAAAATGTTATTAAATCGATAGAATTAATCAACAACGCGTGGTTGAAATAAATTTTCTGGGTTCAATAGCAATGTTAATAAAACTAATACTCGTGTTATCAAAACAATGTATAGTATATTTATTTTAACAACTGGATCTATTATACACATAGAAAAATAGCACTCTAGTGCTAAGAAAAGCGATTATTTAGTTTGCTTTCCTTTTTTCAAATAATGATTATCTTTGACAAAAAAATATTTTTTTCATATGAAATATTTTCTTGGTAATAACCTGAAAACAAATTTGAGAAAAGCTCATTTTATCATGTACTGAAAAGAAAAATTTATTCTCTTTAGGAAAATATTATAAAACTTGATAAAAAAAGAGAGAGAGAGTTGATGGTAATTCTATGTGATAAGCAGGCCGCGCATTTTTGTTTTAATTTAACACTTTGACGGCCACTGTCATGTATATGTGATTTCACGGACCCAGTGGTTATCGGCTGGAGTCACATAGGCGTGATTTCGCTCTGCCATCGGTTGTCGGCTAGCATCACGTATACGTAATTTCATTTGTTCTTTTAATTTACGAGGTACTAAAACATTAAACCCCGCGTACGTAACCCGGCGGTACATAGGAAGCTGTATACGCGAAATATACGGCCGTCAAAATGTTAATATTCTTGATTGGAATGGTAAAAACTTAACAGAATTTAAAATATATTTTGAATAAAGTTGACAGCTATTGATGAACTCTTACGATAGATTTGCAAAAATATAAACTTATAAAGTATTTAAAACAAGTAATATTTACTTCAGTGCAGTACGCTTTTTTCTCTGTGTAGTTTCAATAACATTGCTAATGAATTAAGATTTATTTCAACTACGACGCGCAGTCAGTCAATTTTCTCTCTATGGACTGATTCAATTGTATCTTTTTTCGTATAGTATATCAATTCTAATAATCATTATACCACTTCTCGGGAAAATTATATTGCCGTTCCGATCGCTCATTGTTAGACTATTTTTCAACTCCAGCACTGTTCTCCTCAGAGACTCCAGCGACAACGGCGTGTTTTCGGATTTCTCGTTCTTAATTGCAGTCAGAGATTCGCGTAAAGCCGAGGAAATGCCCGCGCGTGTTGGACCGTACAAAGACACCAACTCGTCTCGACGCGTGTCAGTGTCGCTGTGCAACTTCTCCTCGTCCTCCCGCGAATCTGCGAGATCACAGCTTTCACGCGCTATTCGGCATAGAGATAACGAACTTAACGTCGAAATTGTTTCGGTAATACCGGAATCAACGAGAACCACGTGAGCGGGCGCGTAATTACGAAGCCATGTGCTCCCGCCGTTGGTGACTTCGAGATTCTCATTAGAATTGGGCCAGTCGCCTGAGAAACGGAGATCCTGCTTTCTAATCCAATTTTTCAGTGGTTGATCGGCCATCGCTCCTCCTTCGTAGACTGCTTTATCCGACCTATGTTCAAGGGTGGCACTTCTCTGTATTTGCAGCGAAAGGAAGGAGAAAAGAAGAAACGCGCGCGTTGGCTTTTGATAGATTCGTTAGTCGCGGCCATAAAGCAAACAATGCGAGCGTTTGCGCGACTAATTTAACTCGCTAATTAACTTCATACTTTCTAAATTTCTAAGAATAAAATTGCACTCAATCTTTCACTTATACAAGATAAATTTTGCGATCTGAACTATCGAGTGAATATTTTCACTTAGAATTGAAGAATGAATCTGATTTACATATCTCACCCTGACAGGAATAATTTCACTTTCAATCGTTCAATCATTTATAAACAGTATTCACTCTAAGTGAAGCTTTAATGAGACGTCCATTCTTGCGATTTCAAGTGGCAGTATTTTTTCAAATGATAATACTATCATTTTTCACTAGATTTGACTAAGATTCCACTCCCAGAAATTTTAAAAGTAATTTGCAAATATCTATCTCAACTATATATTATCATATATTATCATATACAATCTCAACTATATATTATCATATATTATCATTTTTTTTCATTTTTGATGAAAATAAATAAAACATAATCACTCTCCTAAAATGGGAACATTATTTTATTAATTTGTAAAAAGCATCTATGAAAAGACACGTTAACTTTCAGAGGTGCATTACGATCGGAATAACGGTACACACAGACAAATGTGTACTGCATTCAAGTAGATGTTACTTGTTTTAAATATTTCATAAGTTTATATATATGCAAATCTGCTATAAGTTTCTGCTGAGTTCATCATAAACATCAAATGTATTCAAAATATTAGAAAATTTATTTATCCAGTGCATATCAAATAACTTTACTGAAAATTCTGGGTCCTAAATAAGTTAAGTAAGTTAAGTAACTTTACAGCCATTTCAATCAAAAATCATTTTGGATCAAGAATATTCATTATAAAACTAAAAATGAAAATTTAAAAAATTGGAAGAATATTAAAGGTAAAAGTTAAAAGAATTAAATTAGAAAGGTAAATGTTAAAAGAATTAAATTAAATTAAAACAAATATTCGATTCGTATATTATATAAAGTCGAAACAACTTTTTTCTTCGATAAAATTTTATAATATTCTTGTGAAGAGAATAAATTCTTCTTTTGTGATGAATATATTTTCAGAGTATTATCAAGAAAATAATCTTTGTTGGAAATGACTATTACTTCAAAGAACAACAACAAACTGAGTGATCACTTTTCTCGCCAGCAGAATGACATTTTTCTGTGTGTGGAGTTTAATTTCACGGTGCATATCGTTCCATCGCGCTTACGTGTCGCGTGATCGATAAAGGCCGTCGAAATCAACGCCAGAGGTGTCTCTCTTAAACGTCATGTCGTTATCCAGATAGACTCTCTGAGGGACGTCGCGAGCACCCTCCTCGCCGTATTTCTTCTTCCGCGGCGTCCGCATCATTTCGTAATTCCGATCGAAGCCCCTCTTGCCACGTAACCTACTTTCATAACCGATATCACCGAGTCCTAAGACGTCTTCTTCCATGCTGGCGGATCCCGCGGAGTGCTCGCTTATATACGCCGGCGGACTGTATCGGGAATACTCTTATTGGATCGCTCAATGGAGATCGGCGTGTCTCTAAATCGCCGTGGGTAAAAATACGAGTCGAGCACGTTGGGAATTTGTTCGTTCTCTGGGCGAGACGGTACGACGCGCGTCTCGCCATTAAAATTGAAAAAAGTCAGACCTACTGCAGCAATTCATTACATTATTTGACCCAAAGTTCTTTCGATTCTTACATGCTAATATTTTTGGGATTAGCGTCTGTAGCTCATATTTTTGTTGTATTTATACTCTTTTCTTCTTCTATCGTTAAAGAAACGAGCAATTACTTGAAGCTCTTACTTCTTTGGACGGGACCTATGATTGATGAGACGCGCGTCTTCGTCTATCCACTTCAAATTGTTCCGCGCCTTCAAAACGTTCTCCAGAAATCGATTTAGGGCCGCACTATTTTTCTCGTCACCGGTAGTCACGAGTTCATTAGCCGAATGATTTCGATCACCAGTGACCTGTGTCGAGACATAATGCCGCAATTTAATATCGCGAAATGTCGGCGTACGTGGCTGTAAATCTTTAACGAAGATTAAGAAGCTAAACACGGTAATTTCTACGACAACTTAATGTAATCATCTTCATCCCATAGTACTTTGTACAGTGTTAAGGGAGGAGGGGAGGGAAAGATTCACTTTTTGGAAGGCCCAGAATAAAGGTGAATTTCGAGAATACATTTTGGGACAACAGAATGGAGTGTCTTCAAACGGTAAACGTATTTGTATAGCGTATATTTCGAGTTATTGTTTTGATATATTCAAACTGTCACCCGTTTTTAAAAGTGTAATAGGCCCGAGACTTTGACGTCTCAATTTGGATGATTTCTCGCGACAATTTCAACGGATTTTAATGAAGCTAAATTCAAAATGTTTGTCATAGATGTCACTACGTACTGACAGAAGTTTTTGAAAAATAAATTCCCTTCCCTTTCATTCATGAAAATGTATAAAAAAATACTCGTATATTTGAAAAGATATAAAACTTATATATCCCTAATTTTTTTATTTTTTTAATTCTTTTTATTTAAAAACAACAATGTATAAAGGAAATGTAAATTACAGATATTTTGACTTCAAACGAACCTGACCGGAAAAGTCGTGCAATCTATCACAAAATCAAGACGTTAGAGTCTTGGATCTGCCACTTTTGAAAACAATTAATTCAAACATATCGAAATGATGAGGTCAAATTATGTACTACGTAAATATGGTTGTTCGAAGATATTCCATTCCGCGTAGAACTAAAAAGTACTCCTGAAACTCATCTTTATTCTGAACCTTCCAAGAGAAGGTCTAACTTCTTAAATAAAAAATCAGCACGCCGTTAGGAAAACAAACAACGAGTCCGAAAGTGCGATTACCGTATATCGCGTACTGAAACCACGCGAGAAATGATTAATGTATATCGATTTTTCGGCGCGTCCACTTTCAACATTACTGGATGTCTCTTCCCTTCTCCCTCCCTCTCTCTCTCTCTCTCTCTCTCTCTCTCTCTCTCTCTCTCTCTCT